TCGTGTTTCAAAAACCTATAGGAAAGTCTATAGGTTTCCTATAGGACATTTCCGTTAGGGTCTCCAAGTTCGGTTCTCATAGACTTGAAATTTGTCTTTGACCGCGAACGGAATCCTCAAATTCACTCTCGCCTCCCAAATTTGCAGCCGAAGTATTTCATGGATTGTCAGAGTCGACTTATGCCAGTCAGTCCGCTTAAAAAGGAACTTAAATCCTAGTAAGGGTCTTACTTGATTGTTTCGGGGCGGCCAGTAGTTTCGCCCATTTTCATGGAGTGCAGCCACTTGGCAAAGGCCTAAGAGAAACAACGAAAATACACGATATCCGTTGGAACGATGGGAAGAAGGATGGAGGATGGGGATACTTCTCCGCTCTCGGGAGGGTCGCCGTTGCCGGTTGTGCTAGTGACCACGAGGACGAGGGACTCGTGCTCGAGGTCCACGATTTTGTAGTCCGACATGCGAAATACCTGTTGCGGGTAACAAAAAGTGTTCCATCTTCGATTGCTTCCATAAAATACCGAAAATGTTACATATCGCATTTTCCCATGTTGGGGCCCTTCAAAATAAAGTTGCAGGGAGCTTTCAATCGATACAGGTTAGGAACTACCAACATTAAAAAATTCTCAGAAATATGGGGATTCCGTCTGTTGAACACGGAATCGATTCACCCACTACCGTTCCAAGGATAATTCCTGTCCCGTTGCATGAATAAAAGACGAATGTCCAGAGAGACTTACGTGAGCGTTGAAGGCATGAGCGAATAGGGAGGAGAGCTTAGAGGCGAATCGCTCCGATCGTCCCGTTTCGCTCGCGTAAAGGATTGTCGCTTTGATCCGTCGGTGGAGGGCTTGGATGTATAGCTTCGAGGCGAACCACACTGACCTGCACAAATTCGTACGTATGCTTAATCTATTCATATACGGGGGTTTTGGAATGCGTCTGGAGTTCAGTGCTGGAACAGGGTTACTTGGAATTAGGTTTTATGGTGCATATTCAAGGGAAAATAAATTCATTGATCTATCTCCGGAAGGAATTCCCGTTTACATCTTAACTGCGGCAACTTTCACCACAACCGCTCTCTGTTTCGGTCATACACGGGACTATCAAAACTGGCCTTCATTCGAGCAATTCATTGAGAGAAGTTAAGATTTTTTATCGTCCCCTTCGAAATACTTCCCTTCACTAACAATTCACTTTTCCCAACGTTTGTAAAGAGCTTGCAACACTGGCTGTAACCCATTCTTGGTAGCCTCCTTCCAACGCGCTGGTCTCAGTTGACTGGAGAGCGTCCGTATTATCGAAATGGCGGCCTTTCAGAAGGAACTTCATCCTGAGGAACAGCGTGAAGTCACAAGGCACGAGGTCAGGTGAGTACGGAGGATGTGGGAGCAATGTCGCTCCACGATTGGTCAGAAATTCCATGGTACTGCCTAGTACTGAATGCCGGCGGTCACAGCGGAAAAGCCCTGAAAGGGCCTGCACGGTTTCCTCCTCATAACTTGTCGATAGTCGTCCTCTGCATTTCCCATTCTAAATGGATTCCCGCCTTTCGTAATCGTACTTTTTGCGTGGGTGGGTGGCACAATTGATTTCACGAAAGCACAGGCGCTCTCTAGTCAGACCCAGAAAGTAATAACTCAAATGCATAGTCGTGTGAAAAACGTGGAAACGAAGGGAAAACGTGGACGAAAGGAGAGGTAGAAAGACTTACACGGCAACCTCTCGAAAAGTGAATTTCCTTCTGGAATTTGAGGGACCAAGGGCAACTTTTCCATGGGTCTTCCAGGCCGGAATCTAGAAAGAATCGAAGTTGAACTAAACCTATTGATTCATTTGAGAAATGAACGGGGGGGGGGTGAACAAGGCAGAGGAATCGTACCTGGTATTCGAAGGAAGGACTGAGGTGGTAGAGGGCCATTTCCTGGTGGAAGACGGGGGTGAGGGACGAGGAGAGGGGAGGGACGATCCAGACCCAGTCAGCTGGGCATCCGCCTCGGCTCTTCATCTCGTTCTCCAGGTGTCTCATGAAGGATTCCGACGCAGCGTGGTGGTCCATTATCGTCACGCCGCTTTCCTACGTCATACTTTATTTGTTATTTTTCATTATAATTTTCCGTCGTCAATTCATGGCCAGATTCATGCTCCTAGTAGCACATTCGATTTCAGTTCGCTAAAATGGTGTCCGCTAAGATGGGTTCGCTAAAATAGGCACGTGGTATTCCACGTGCCTATTTCAAATAAGATAATTACTGGCATAATTACCCACATAATTACCCGCTGCTCTCAAACACTGCACGACAAGATGGCGCTTCCTCTACGAAGTTGTGAGCGTGCAAGACACGCATTTGGGACCAGTTCACTTCTTGAGGTCATGGAAGGTCATGGTAGTGTTCACGGGACGAATTTGTCTTGTATTCAATTAATCGCTGACACAAAAAATCGGAGAGTAATTTTTTTCGCATGTTTTGTAACACATTGAGGACCGGACGGAATTGTGTTACTACAGCCCTGGTTCCCGGGTATGTTAAACAAACTGAACTGAAAAATGCACTGTAGCACTAAAAAAGGCGTTAACTCTTAAAGTACTGAATTTAAAACTGTCTTAAATTTAAAGGCTTCAAAGCTTAAAGCTTCCTGATCAAGAGCATACGCTCAATAAGTTCGAAGCCTCCTAAAAATATGTGAAAAGATGCTTGTTTCTTCGTCATGAGCAAAATCCGTGTTTACACGGATCCCGTTCTTGACGCATGGATCTGAAAACCGTGTAAACACCGGGCCCGTCCTCAATTTGTTAGCACATGTGACGCGTTAACACATTGTGACGCATTAACACATTGTGACGCGTTAGCACATTGTGACGAGTTAACACGTTGAGGAGCAAATTGTGGGCTTCCTTCTCCAAGTTCTGGCACACCGGGGCCAATCATCCTCTTTTGGGAAAGAACACCATGAGCTTTAAGAGGGATCTGTGCAGATACCGCTCTAGAATTGGAGCAGCCTTGGCAGTCCTCTGCACCCAGGATCAACTACTAAATAAGTCCATATGATTTGATCACTGGAGACCACGATGGAGTGAAAAGATTCAGCGTACTTGATGGACGTCAAATTTTTTTCCAATTGAAGTGCAAGATGAATGACCAAAGATACATTACAGTAGTCTCGCTTCCACAGGAGATGCGTTTTAAGAAAAAACCATGAAGAACAAATCCGTGAGCAACGAACCCAGTTTTAAATAGCTAAAGGGGGTTCAGTTCTCATTTCTATCTCACATACAGTACAAAAATAAAAAATAAAGTTTTATTTATTTTTTAATTATTTGACGTTTATCTTGCGAACCAAACCACGTACTTGGTGAATTTTTAGTAGCAAAGAAAACGTTCAAGTGCGAATCCGTGAACAAAGAAACTGAAAAATGATGGACTGCTGTGTACCTGTCGTCCACCCTAATATGCACCAGTGCCAGCTTCATCACTGACCTTCTTGCTGACTTGCATATTAATTGAGTGATTTTGTTTAGCGGAAATGGAGCTGCTAATGAAAATGAACAGCGAAGCCGATGGCTTCCTGACCTGATCTGATGGATGTATTAAATTAAATTTATATGCATGCAAATATAATTTCATGCTTCTAGAAACTGGCTGATATTTTTTTTCTGCTGCATTTCTGTACCCCGTATTAGTTATGCAGATGCATATCTGAAAAAACATCTGAGTCTCTGTTGCTTACAGGTTAATAGCAACGTAACTTTAGCATGGAATCAATGTTGACTCCTAATTTATGTCAATATTGATGAAAGGTTGATGAGAATGGCATTTCAATGTGGAGTCAACAATGCAATGTTGCTTTTGAACATTGAATCAACGTTGATATACCGTTAATTTCAACGTTGATTCAATTGTTGATTAAAAAAATGAACTTTCGAAATGGAATCATGTTCACAGGCCAACGTGGTTTCAATGTTAGCTGCGTTGACGAAATAACGTTGAATCAACGTTTATTCACCGCGTGTGTGCTGCTTGCGTACGTACGAGGGGCGGTCAAAAAAGTTTTTGAGAACGGGATATTAAAAATACGGACCGAGTCTCACTTACTATTTCATTTTTCAATATAGTCACCCCTAATATCAATGCACTTACTCCATTTTTCTTTCGAAGAATCAATTCCCAAGAAAAAAAATTGTGACTTCTCCTCAAACCATGTCTCCACAGCATCTGTCAATGATTCATCGTCAGCAAATCGGGTGCCACGGAGGTGAGACTTAAGGTTTCGGAACAGGTAACAGTCACTTGGAGCCATGTCTGGGCTATAGTAGGGGTGGTACAGCTGTTCAAACCCACAGTCACGAATTGCAGCCTGAGCAACGCGAGCTTTGTGAACAGGAGCGTTCTCATGCAAAAACAAAACACCGCTGGTCAACATTCCTCGCCTTTTACTCTTGACGGTTTGTCTCAATTTTGGCATCAAGTTGGCATAATACAGGCCAGAAATAGTGGTTTTGTGGGGCATATTGTCAATCAGCAAAAGTCCCTTTGAATCTCAAAAAGTCGTGGCCATGATTTTGCCAACTGATGGTTGGGTGTGGAATTTATTTGGAGGAGGTGAGTCTGGGTGCTTCCACTGGAGGGACTCAAGCTTGGTTTCTGGGTCCCAGTGGTGAATCCAAGTTTCATCCCTAGTCACTAACAGGGAATGAAAGTTAGCTGAGTCAGCATTGAAGAGAGCCAGAAGCTCATGACTTGACTCGATCCGCTGATGGCGATCATGAGCACTGAGGTTTCGGGGAACCCATCCAGCAGGCACCTTGGACATGTTCATTGTTAAGCATGTGTCAAGGAATATTACTCTTTTCGAAAGCCAGGGAAATAAAAATTAAAATCAAGGTCCCTTTGTTTATCGTAAATACTGATCTCTGCTTCACCCATGGAAAATGTAATTCACGTATAGAAAATTCAGTTTCAATTTTCTCGATTCTTATTGTACTACAACGGCCGAATGTATTGGAAGTCCACATTGGCCCATCTTGAGTTGGTGTCGAAAAAGGGATTGCTGTAGAGAGAAGCATGTTTATTTTTCAGAAAAGCTAATACATATAACATGCGTTATCTACCAGGGTAAAAAGTATTTGCAGGAGACAACGAGGAGGAAAAAGACCGGAATACGAGAGGGGAAGACTGTCAAGGCTGCTGTGTTGCAGAGGTCCGACTGGCAATAACATTCCTTCCAGCCGATAGTCCCCTGGCTGTAAGCATTCTCCTGCTTGCTAGATACTCCTTTGCTTTCCTGATTTACGGTCCAACATCCTTCTTTCGTCCACGGCCAACAACTCGATATCTGGTGGACACCTGCGTGTTAAAAGGATAATTAGCTGCAGTTGTAATTTTTCAAGATAAGATTTCAGGGTTTCAAAGGAATGCATCCGATGGGCGTGTTGCAAAATGAATTGCTGAAAATACAATGTTTCTCTTCAAATTCGAAGGAGCATTCAAGACGGTATTCAAAAGAGGAGTGCTACATTTTTGGAAACTTCCTTGAAGCTAAGCCAGTACGTGACCCGATAATTGATTCGGATGTTCTATTGTCAAATTTGTTGCTTTTTAGGGGGGATTTGAAGACAGACATTTCAATAAGAGGACAATCTCATGTATTGCTTCCGGTTCATTATTTTATAGCGATGCAGCTTACCTCACTATATTTATCCCGGCACGAGTGGCTTCAACAAGTGGAACTAGCTCTAATAAATTCCAACGCGAATGTGAAAGGGAGAGAGATGGTATCCACGAGTTTGAAGTAATGAAGTAAATAACGCATGACATACAGGAGAAAATGCATTACTCCAAAAAGGACATCTCTTATACAGTGCTTACCATTCTGATCCCAGGCAGCTCCGCAGTACCATTCCGTCCCACTTGGTGCTGTTCCAATGTCTGAGCAATCCCCTTCCACCCAACTGGACTCGCCCTTTTGGCACATATCGCCGAGGCAATGGTAGCATCTCAAAGCACTCCCGCTCCCTACATGCAATTACAATTATTATTGCAATTTTGTCACACCAGAACTTATCCGTGCCTATGGCTAATATTAACAATTCGAAGATGTTAAGGTTAAAGCCCCAGAGCTCCCGCGGAGATCTTTCGTGCCCGCAGTCCCACATGGGTTATGCCCATGTCAGGGATATTAAACTTCTACTAGCGGCCTGTGGCCGCAATTGTGGCCTTCTACACGTACATGTACTTGTTCGTCATTGCTCATCAACTAAGAATAGTTTTAGCCAGGTTCCCGCTGCCAAAATGTGATCTACAGTTCACGATGGAACATATATGCATGAAAGAGATGCTGAGGCACAACGTGCTACATCTGGCACTATGCGTAAAATATAACCATAATTAGTTCAAAAAGACTGAAGTAAAGAAAAATGGAAGTAACCATGAAAGATCAAGAAATTGGACACACTTGGGAACGAAGCGGATAGTTTATATCATAATTAGCAAACAAGTCCCCATGAACGGATTTGACGAACAAAAAAGTGGTTCTTCAGAGAACGGTGGCAGCATCAGTTTTGCCCTGCTTCGGTCCATCGATAACTTGCATCCTCAGCAAATACTCAGAGCGAACTCGCGAGCAGGCAATGTACAAATACCATCCATGGATACTGGCTCTGTAAGTAGTAACCTGACTTGATCTGATGTCTGTCCCTGAGACTTGTTGTATCGAGCTAACTTACGGTACGACAATAGTCGTACCGTAAGTTAGCTCAATAGGGAATTGACGTTGACAAAGAAGGAAAGGTATGCTGACTTGGATTTACGTGTCCAGTGAAACTCTAGGCAGGAAGTGAATGCAGCCATGAAGCGCATCTGTGATCACCTCGACTACTAAGGGTGTTTAAATGAAATGGGAACTTTTAGTTCCCTACCCTAGGCTACCCTTAGATTATGAGTAACAGTCATTGCCCCCTTTTCCTTTGAACCCCCCTAATATTAATACATTTGCATTCAGGTCTTTCACGATTATAGACGTGTCATTGCAAAGGTCGTTTCCGATCGTAAGACTCCGTACATGTATCAGGATAGCTCTAATTTTTAGGTTTAATAGACCCAGAGTATTGAGATTGTTGAAGAATTCAAACCGAAAGGTGGCCTGCCGATGGACGTCATCGCAACCATGATCGTTCTTCACAATGTCGATACTGTGATGTGTCCGTAGTTTGCCTTACTGTCGTGACGACACATCCTAATTGACAAAACAGGAGTGCACATTCTAGGGACACAGAATGAATGCGTTTTCTTCTTACTTCGGCATCGCACACCCTATTTTATTGTTGTAGCAGCTCGTTCAACATATAATCGGAGATACAATCGCCTGGTAAACGCTCAAAGAGGTCAAATGGATCACCCTCTACTCGTGAAAATGTTTCACTGCCAACATCGAGGAAACCGGGAGTAAATCGAATTTCATTTGCAGCAGCGCGCATGTTTTCTGTCAAAGGAATCCTTCGGAACGATGGCCACAACGGGCTCATTCCGACACAAGTATCAATGATTTAACCGCGAGATGCTTTGCGGACGACTGGCAACATTGCCAGGTGTCACCACCCAGAACCATTACCCCACCGAACCGGTCATCATCCATCGAATCTCGCAACGCCCGTTCGATCGTTGCCAGCTCATCAGCGGGCGCCATCGGTGCTTCATCCCAAATGATGATTTCGCTCGAATCATCGCCTGATTTTTGCGCGATGAAAGACACGTTTCCTGCGTGAGCAAATCCATTGGCAAGTCGAAGGCTGTGCGACGCGTCATCCCACCAGGCAGCAAAATTGCACACAAAATTGCATACCAATCGGCAAGCAACGCTCAAAACATTGTCTACTTCCATGCAGTATGTGAATTCGTTTAGTGTACGGGCTGTATAGTGTAGGTTGATAGTGCCACCTACTCTATCGATAATAAACAGCGACGCACTTCCCGTTCTAAATTTTCATGCGCCACTGCATTTGAACCACTTCATCCGTATCGTAAACGTAGAGTTCAGCATACGCTAGTTGCTGATTTCGATTTAGTGGAGAAACGACATCAAATGATAGACCACGCCGAATGTTTTGAAGCAGTAAAGACCATTATCGAAAATGTCAGCAATCGTTGCACCGAAAGGAAGCAAACGCGTTTGCGCTGTTGTATCGTCTGTTAAACTCGCGAAAATTGCGAGCGTTTTCATCTTCCCCATCGGCGGAAACTTCAATGAGTTTGAATGGAACACCATAACATGATCATGACAACAACCGTACCGAAGTTTGCCTTTCTCCGCTTCGAAATGAAAAACCAGGCAGTGCACAACAAAGCATTCAACATTCATAGGGTCGCGATCATGTGAAACGGCTGGAATGACGTTGGGCGTCCTAGCCAATGCAACTCGAGTATGATTAAGGTTCGACGAGAACATGCGCTGCTCTCCGCGCAGTATTAGCAACCTTGTGTTGCTCTGCAATTAATGCAGCTCTCCTCTCGGCATGAATATATTCACTTTGCTCATAGCTCAGGGCAGACCTACGCAGCCTCGCCGCTTCTCTTACGCGGGCACATCGCATCACATATTGTTAAACTGTTTAACAGATCCCACACAGCCTGAGTCCTGAAAAGGCAAAGGCATGTCTGCCAAACAGATGCATGGACGAATCACGAATCGCGTCCCTTGGGGGTGTTTCCCCCTTCTGGTCACCCAGTCCTACATCTTCCATTCGGGAGTGCTTCGTCTGCCATCAGTGTCCTACCTGTGCTGTCTGTTACTGCGGTTCGTCTCTCCCTAGATTGCTCACGCCCTCGGTGGCAGTGGAACCTTTTCCAAATTCTGCTAGCAAGTCTCGAACTTTCTCTGCAGACGTAGCCCCAATGTTGGTTGGCCAACAGTGACCCTACTCCTCAAGTGCTCATCATTGTAAACATCTGTGATATTTATCTTTATTCATGACTAAGTTTTAATTAAGTACTTGTCCTTTTTGTTGAACACCGTATTTCATTTATCATCCATGGTCTCCTTAAACGGCTTGTCCTGTCTGTGGAGCGAGGCCAGATCCTTTGCCTTAACCTAACCACTCGTTCTAAATTTTTCTTTGTCTCTCTGCTTTCGGCCTAAAGTTAACGATTATAGTCCACTTTTAAGGCCCTACTCATGACAGAAAGTGTAAAAAGTAATAAACTCATTGCTTATTAAATGATGATTAAATATATTTTGACTCGATTCTCTGAAAAAGTTTTCACTCTAGGATACAAAGTGAAATGGAAAGCACTTTCGTCCGATGAGCATTTTAAAGACGTAATGAGGCCTAACAATTTTAAGACGTAATACGCTGCATTGATTTGAGCATGTTTGAAAACAGGCATGGAAACTGTGAACAATCGCGTGCTTTTTAACCATTGATGATGAATTATGTTTGGCTTACCGAAGATAGCGAATAGAACGAGAAAGGCGAAGAACTTCATGTTCGATATTCTGCAAGGAAAAAATGGAATGCATTTAATAAATATACGAAAATTGCCCGCTTGGACCATACAGATCCTTATTGAAACATGTGAGTACTGAGTTTTAAAATCACAGACTCAGAGTATGTTGCCAAAATAAAAAGAAATTCTGGGTCACCCTTTTGGACTTTAGAGGGACACTCTGTAGCCCAAAAATAAACCCAAAGTAATAATTGAATGTGCATTTCCAAGGGAGAAATAATGTGAAACTGGAAAACCTGGATTGTAGATGCAGCAAGAGACAGCAAAAGACTCTGCAATCGCTTCTTCCTGCGTCTTCTTACCAACAATACTAATTCTTTTCCCGTTGCTGCATCTGCTTTATATACCTGTATATTTGCATGGGTGCCTGGGCGGGACTCTTCCTTTGTGGAACTAAATATTATCACCTGGAAGGAGAAAGATAAGGAGTAACCGTCATTTCGCAACACTATCTCTAACGGCTGGTCTCCTCTTATGGGGTGACAAATAAAATAAGGTACCGACCTCTGGTAACTTCCCCCATACTGATATCCTCTTACTTTTTTGAGTTGTGCAAAGTGGAGTTAGTGTATATACAGCAGATTTAGATTTAGACAAGATTGTCCCATTTTTTCAGCATACCTTGGAAAACTAAAGAAAAATCATTTTCGATCTAAATCTACCTCAGAACGAAATCTTTCAAGAAAACTAAAACCAAGGAAGGAGTTTCACACTAGCGTAGCGCGTAACAAGACACGTATATTTGCCAGACTAAAAATGATTTAGAGAAGAAGGCACTGCTAAACATTTGAACGGCAAAAATAATGATAGGCCAACACATTCAGGTTGTCCTAAGGATGTACGGCCTCCCTAAAACATTGATCTCGTTCATGATTCAGTGGGCAGAAGCTCAAAGAAGTCTCTCAGGCGTCGGAGTCAGGAGTTTGGACTTTAACGTAAATCAGTAAGAAAAATTGTAATGAATGATCTGCAGCTGTATCCATGGAGAATTCAATTGAAGCTCAAGTAAACTGACAGATTGATATGTGGAAAATAATGATGATGTGCCAGTGATTCACACAGATTGAAGAAGAGCCTGACTTCTTCGATGAGGTCTGGTTCTATAATGAGGCACATTTCTTTCTTAGTGGGCAAGTAAACACCAGGAACAATGTTTATTGGGGCACAGAACCCCCTGATCATACACTTGAAGGGCCTCTCCACTTACAGAAATTCAATGCCTGGGTGACAATCAGGATAAACGGGATCTTCGGCCATTTCTGGTTCGAGGACGACGACAGTAAAGCATTGACTGTCATTACGGCGCTTTGCGTCGAGGTCCTGGCGAAGCTTTAGAGGGTCCTAGGCCAACGCAGTGGGTTCAGAATAGGAGATAATGGCTCCAACAGGACAGAGCCACCTCCCACACCTCAAATGTATAGCTGAACTGGGTCAACAGACACCTTGATTACATCGTCATCAAAGACTTGAACAAACTTGAATGGGCACCGCATTCAAAAGATCTATCACCACCAGATTTCTATATTTGGGCTATCTTAAGGACAACTTCTACCGAAGAAGGCCACAATCAGCTGATCTCAAAAACAGTAATAGCTGACAAAATCCGTTCAATCACTGCAGCCAAATGTATCAAGAGTAATAGCAATTTTGTCCGTCACATCAAAGTGTGCCTGCGGCACAAAAGCCGACATCGGAGCATGTGCTCTAACCTCAATCAATTCAATGACATGAAAGACAACCATCTGAAAAGTTCCATTGTTGTTCCGCATCGTGTGAAGCATATGTGTACCAAAGAACGTATCTTTTGAAATGGAAAAGGAGGGACTATCAAATGGTATCGGTTCCGTTTTTTGAGGTCATACTGTATGAAGATATTTAAGGAACGAGTAAATTCCGGAAACACATGATTAACATTATAAACTACCCGGGCAAACAAACTCCCTAAGGCAATGTCTTCGGCGCTCCATGACGAAATGATTCATGACTAATTAACTACGGAGATTATTAATTCATTTGAACAATCCATCTTCGACTAATCTGGTAAGATGCTTGAAATCAAATTACTTCCAGTTTTGTGATTCTCTTCGATTTAGGATATGAAGAAATAATACGAGGGCCACTCAATAAGTTATCTACCTGAATATGAAAGGGATGAGCAACAGGTCTGTGCCTGCTGTGACATGTCTCGACAGGTCTCGTGAATGCCCCACCACTATACCAGCTCAGTGGCTCAAGTCCGTTCAAAGTGGTAGCGCATTAGATTTCTTTTCCTGAGTCTGTGTCATGGATTTGACGAAAGTTGAACATCGTTTAATGATCAAATTCCTCACCAAAGAAGGTAAAGCACCTAAGGAGATTCATGAACGTATGTCTAAAGTTTATGGTGTGTCTTCGCCTTCTTATTACCAAGTTAAATTTTGGAGCAACCAGTTTAAGTGGGGAAGAGAGTCGATCGAAGATGACCCAAGGTCGGGGCGCCCTGTGGAGGCTTCTGATCAGGAAATGTGTGACAAATTGGAGAGTGCGATACTGGAGGATCGTCCCACCAAAATCTCAGTTTTAGCTCATGAACTGGGGATTTCAGAGGGCACAGTGATTCACATCATTCATGAAAAATTACACATGTCCAAAGTCAGTTCTCGATGGGTCCCAAGAATGCTGACTCCAGCTCAGAAGAATAACAGATCTGACATCTGCAAGGAAAACTTGGAGTTTTCTAAACAAATCGAGGAAACTTTTTTTTCCCAGGATAGTAACTGGTGATTAAACTTGAGTTCATCACTGGGATCCCGAAACCAAGCAGGAAGCACAAGGCACAATGCAGTGGAAGCACAAGGGATCGCCAACGCCTCGCAAATTTCGTGTTCAGAAATCTGCAGGAAAGATTATGGC